TTGTATTTTGCTTCAGCCATTATCTGAAATGACTTCTCTGCTCAAAAGCTTTTCGACGAACCAAGGATCGCTTCAATCGAAGCATGAACAAGAAAGCTACATGCGATTGAAGTTGATATGCTTTTGATATATTGTTGTGGCAACTATGGGAAGTTCTGGGTGACTCTATATGGGGTATAAACTTTTGGGAGTTGGAGATATTCGTCACTCTACTGTAGGGGATTCCAAGTGGTTGGGAGAAGCCAAACTAGGTTGGCAAGTGTGGCCAAGTTGGGTGAGGTGGATGGCATGGGTTGGGAAATTGACAAAAGTCAAAGTGGGGTTCCTATAGGGAGGGGATTTATTGTGCTGATGGGGGGTTGGGGAATTCCTACCTTCTCTCTCGTTCTCCTCAGGGTGTGTCACCTCCAGGTTCAAACCGGCCTCTTTTTCGAACAAGCGAAATCATACATGATTCGCCGGGCTTCGTAGGCACCCTAACGACGTCGCTAACCAGAAGTTTCGCCAATTCGAACAGCGCTGTCACATCGGGCATGCTGTTCAAACACAGCAACATAGGCGCCCCCCTCTCAGCACGGACGATGCCTTTGATTGGAAAGCACCCCGCATAGTCGCTAGCAAAATCGCTTCTCACCGGAAACTGTCGCAGTGCACCGGAAAGGGCAGTGTAGCTGGGAAACAACTAGGTGAGCAGCAGTAGAGGAGTACGAGGAGACGCTGTGACTGGATGGGCGAAAAATGGGTCAAAATGGAATGGCAGGCGATTAAAAGACTTTTCTTGCGACGCTTAACGACGTCGCCCTTTTATAGGCGACGTCGCATGTTCGAACAGGCTGCGTGTTGGAAAATAGAGGGTGTCACCTCTGGTGACGAGCTGTCACATTCACCAGGGTGTTCAAATTTGTGTTCGAACACTGTTCGTACTGTGAATTTGTTATGCATGTTCAGATTTGGGCCTTCCCAGCCCCGAGGTGACACGCATTCTCTTGTGTGGTTCTTGGTTGAACATTTGAGTTTGAGTTAAATTTCAGCACCAGCTTACCCCCTAGTGTGCCAAAATTCATATCTCGAGTTATACTTCACCTTCCGATGCAATTCAAAGTATGAATTGTAGCCACGGTTAAGGGCTACAACATAGTTTTTTGTTACAATGTTAACGGTGCGTTTATCGTCGACGGCGTTTCTTGTGAAGTCGACGTTTCTGTCCAGCTCAACGATTTTGAGTTATTTTGGCCCTTAATCTTCCTAGGCTCTATCCTTAATCCTAACATCAACTTATGTATTCTATTCTACACGCCATGCATGCCTGAACAGCAGGAGTGGATTGGGAATGAGGCGGCTAGAGTGACAGCCAACCAAAACAACCCGTGCACGACTTACTTGATATACCCAGTTTAGGTGAGTGAGCTGTTTTACGCTCCATGTAGTCTATATGCCTTGCGTTATTTTTTGTTGTGCCAATACCCCACGAAATGCAACCAATGGTGAATGTATTTGCTGATATGGTCTCGGAAATGCATTGTTCCTTCCTAGTTCCGTTCAACCATCCAAATTCTAGTGTGTGCTAGAAGTGGGATCTCCCCGCTTGTTACAATCCCTACCTCGGCGTAATGCTTGACATTATGCACCAGGCGGACCTGGGCATCATGAACCACATTGTGGCTGTTGTGCGCAAGACGAAGAAATGCCATGTGGAGCAAATGGACAGGATAGTGTCTTGTTGCATTGCTTTCCTTCCAATTGTTCAATAAATTGGTCATATCTCATCTTTCTGATGTGCCGTTGTTTCACTCATGTGCATGGCAGGCGCCTGCCGCTTATTTGCTCCCCATGCGCATAAATCATATGTATTTCCGGAGAGCACCTACTTTGAGACCGGAGCATGGGTCGCGGCTTATGAGCACCAGGCCACAATGCAGGTATGAGAGTCATTGCATCATATGTTATCTTACCCATAAAGTGGGCCTAATGCACACGTATGCATAGAAAAAACCAATGCTCTTATTCGGGCTAGTATTGCCAATGCTCACAACCCACCAGTGGGTTTCTATGCCAGTAACCCTCAATCCACCCGCCTATACCTGACATTGTTTCAGCCCACTGCATGCCATCATCTCAGACAACACCCCACTAGCTGAATTCCCTATTGCAACACACCTCCAGATGACTCAGACTGCTCTTCCAATTCCCTAGTGCTCATCACCACCGCACCCTACCATTCTGTCCATCCTGCCACTCATCTCCCATCACTCACCCCCATTGTGCTCACATCCCCGTTGCTTTGGCTCCCAAACTTTGCAGGTTATGGTGTTTGTTTTTGCCGGCTTGCTGTGTCAGCCCCACATGGATGCGGTTTGTGCCTATCTTGGCTGGTACCTCCTAAGCTCCTAGCCAATGGGGGCACACTGAGAGGTCTCTGCGTGCGCTCTAGACAATGATACTCCGGTCTTAGTATGCGTGACAATCTATTCGTGGGATAAACGCACAACTACCGTGCCTCTTCTGTTGGGGGAACCAAGCTTGCAAGGAGATTTCTGCTAAACCTTGATAATGCATGTATAAAAGCAGGTTGCTATACGTAGTAATATACTCCTATCTGGCTGGACATGTTGCCATCTCCAACTCTCATCAAGCTGGTTGAGCAATTTCAGGCTGCCTTTCCAAAGCAGGCATCCTCCTTGTGCCTTGTCGACACCCATTTGATGTCACACTACGTCGACTCCAACACCAACTTGTTCAAGCAATTGCATGGACCATTGGTAAAGAAAATATACCGTCACTTTAACAAGCGCAATGTACATGAAAGATAATGAAATTTCATTCTAGGCACATTTCGGATGTCATGCTGGTGGACGATCCTGCTGGTCGGGACAACGCCATACGCCAGGTAAACGTGTGAAGTGTGGATATGAAGGCACAATGTAATAAATCCATTAATCAAATTCTGGCAGGCAATTGAGACAGGAACACAAACTCTCATTGAGGAGTCGTACTTCCTTCCTGTAGAGTTAGCAGAAGAATCTACTTCCACCAACTAGTTTGCAAGGAAGTGGGTCAAGCAACACCCCGGTGTCCAATCTACCCTCAAGGATGCACTAGAACGTTATGGCCTGAGCGTCACCAAAATTGGAGTAAGTACTTCACTCTTTAACAACCGGCATTGTTATAGAGGCCCATGCATCACTGGCTATACATGCAATAGACGATGCCAGCTTCTAAAGGGCTTCACATGTCGTTTGGGCAATGCCATATTATTTTGCCCGACAATGGTGCTCGGGTTTTCCAGTAAAGGGTGAATGGTATGGTCGGAGAGAGGAGTAATATGCAAGGTTGATTCTATTGTTCCACACTGAAACACGTGGAGAAACATGTTGGGTGCAAATATTTAATTTTGCACGTCAACCAGCCGCCTACGTCGCATTTGCATTTTGCGTGTGTTCGCATTTTCATTTTCATTTTGTGATGTTTTGTGCGCATTTGTTCTTGCATTTTGTGTGCTTCGTTTTCATTCGTAATTGCATTTTGTACTTGTGAATTTTCAGTTTCGTTTTCACTGTTCTCATGAGGCAATCATGATGCGCTCAAATGAAGCTCTCATGACGCGCTCAAATGAAGCTCTCATGACGCGCTCAAATGAAGCTCTCATGACGCGCTCAAATGAAGCTCTCATGACGCGCTCAAATTAAGCTCTCATGACGCGCTCAAATGAAGCTCTCATGAAGCGCTCAAATGAGCCTTCCATGAAGTGCTCAAATGAAGACCACATGGAGCTCAAACGAAGCTCGCATGAGACTTAAATGTTTCATCCGAGGTTCATGCGAGCGACCCATGAAAGTCTCATGAAATTCGAATGTTTCATGCGAGGCTCATTGGGGTTCCATGCGAGCGAGCGGTGTACCAGGGGGCTCGATAGTTTGACTATCGAGGGGGTGCCGTTTGACTCTTCTGGCGCGAGTCAAAGGGTACGAAATCAGGACCGCATGTGGGGTCCTGGCACACGCGTGAGGCCCCACAGGGCATGCGCGTGTGCCGCGCACTGTTGCGACAGTGCTGTACAGCACGATCGCAACAAGACAGGGCACGTTTCGGCCCTGTCCCGCGCACTGTACACGCACATGATCGCAATCATGCGCGTTGTACAGCACGACCGAGAAAAATCTCGGTCGTGGCGTGTGGCAGGTGGGGACGTGTGGGATTTCCGTTGAAAAACAGAATCCCCCGTTGACTCACGGAACAAGAAATTGTGCGCGAATGTTACGCCGCATAAAAGAATGATTTCGCCACAGGTACAATTCGGTTGTTTACGTCATTAAACGGTTAAAAACCGTTTTACAGCTGTAAACTCGCATGAACTTCATGTGAGGCTTATGGGAGCCATATGGGAGCCACATGAGACCGCAAATGTTCATGTGAGGAGTCAGCAATGGAATTGCCTTGTGTTACAAGAGAAGAAAAAAGGCAACATCCTAAGAAATTATGCAACCGTTTTCTATTACAGCGTGGCAAAAAATCAAGACCTTGTTCTGCAGCTACGCTTACCTTTTTGTGTACGTAGGATTTTATATAAATGTGTGCTTGTAATTGTTTAAATAACAACTATTTTTCATTTCGCCTTTCAAGTTCAATATCTACTACTACGTATTGACGAGAGTAGAATCGCTACCGTGGTGCTGCCGAAACACTGCTCGACCAGCTTACTTGGCTTACATGCTGAGAAAGGCATAACTACTTGCTTGCAATTTTTCTACGCCCTTGGCTAGGAGGTGACAAGCTGTCACGCTCGAAGGGCTGCAAGTGATGTTAAGTGTTGCCGAGTACAAGTTTGTAATACCAGTTTAAACGTTTCCGCATAACGTTATAGCTGTTAACAAAACAGAGGAGCTGGCTTACATAAGATATTGGACAGCATGCGGAGTGGATGCTGTAACTGGATTATGATACATCAAAGCTCACTTCCAAATGTGTGAAGTCATATTCAGGATGGAATTCGCCCAATGTCCTTAAAACATGAGAGGGTAGAAACATTTGAGAGGAGGGGGGGAGGGAAAGGGGAGGGGGGATAGGAAGGAGGTGGAGCAGAGGGTGAGAGGTACTCTTGCAGAGCTCGAAAGAAAAAAAAACGCAATACACCCCTCCACAACCAGATGCCCCCTATGGGTGCATTGTTCCCGCAGGCTGTTTTTGTTTTTATATATATATATTGATTCGTATATACTGGAAGAACAAGCATACACCATCAAACGGTCGTAACCGTGCGTGAGGAGACAGCAGGCTAGCTACTGTTCCAGGTGAGTTGCCTAGGGCGAGTTGCTACGTGCCCTCTTCTTTGACCAAAGTGCGGCGAACGCATTTGTCCACGTCCATCCCCTGCCATCCATCTTGTTCCCGCAGGCTGTATATAGGTGGAATAATGGTATAAATATATAGGACCCTTCTTAATTGCAATATTTGTTTCTAATGCCATCATGTAAATTCCCACAAATGGGTAAAAAAAAAACAACGATTGCTGGTTCAAAAGCTATAAGTTTCAGTCATCCTTGTTCGAGAGGCCCGTTGATAAAGCACATCAAGCGGATTTCGGACTATATAAGTCAAATAAGCACCAATCATGTTGATCCAACCCCATGGTTTGCACTCAGCATGTTGCCCTTATGCATGTGTTAGTGTTTGCATGGACTGGGGTGAGAGCATGAGATAATATCTATTCCAATATGTGAGTGTGTCATTGATGAGACCTCGACTAATGTGTGAGGAGATTCTATAACAAGTTTTAATTATTCGCATGCGTTCTCAGTCTTGTTGTGCGTCAAAAGTTTTGCATGTCACTGGTATGTAGAGCAAGCTTAAAAAAAACTCAACCCTAAATAGTTACATTGCTTTATGTAATGTAACATTTCTCTTGGTCTAGGTCCTTGTGTTAGGTGGTTTTCACATCCTTCGAGGTTGGGGACCGCGCGGCACAGTTCCACCTCCATGAACCTTGTCTTTTAGGGTTTGTAGTGTCAGAATGTTATAATTGTCTAGCCTGCAGTGGGGTACTCTATAGCGAGTACAACCCAATTAGGTTTCCTATATGTATGCCAACTGCTGCTAGTGCAAATCCTCCTTTCTTCAATCCTGTTTCTACCTGCTAATTTTAACATGGTTTCAGAGCAGGTCGACCCCCTTGGGTCGATCCTGTGGGTGGGCCCACCACCTAACTAATTCCGCTGCTACTCTGTCTGTTGCACGCCCCGTGGCGTACGACGCCTTCTTCCTGCCGTGGCGAATTTTTTTTTAGGGTTTTCAGTCCGCCGTGCGCTCGGGGCGCGCGGCGGTTTTTCTGGCCCGCCGTGCGCCCCGAGGCACGCGGCGGTTTTCCTACCGTGGGGGACCCGAGCGCAGCCCCCCGCCCTTCCCGTCGCGTCGCCCTGCAGGCCGTGCGCGGGGCCTGCAGGCCGCGCGCGGCCCGTCTGCCCGTCGCGCGGCCTTGGGGACCCGCGCGCGGCCCCCGCCCTGCTCGTCGCGGCGCCCTGGGGAGCACGCGCGGCCCCCGCCCTTCTTGTCGCGGCGCCCTGGGGAGCCGCGTGCGCCCCCCGCCCGTCCGTCGCGGCGCCCTGGGGAGCCGCGCGCGGCCCCCCCCGCCCGTCCGTTTTGGCGCCCTGAGGAGAGACGCGCGCCCCCCCCCCCCCCTCCTGTACCGTCCCCCCCCCCCCCCCCCGTGCTGCCCATGTCCTCCCGTGCCGCCGTGCGTTCCGCGGGTGGTGGGGGGTGGGGGTGGCGAGCATGGGGGTGCGCGGTGTGGGTGCTCCCTTCCCTTTCTCCCTCCTCCTTGTTTGTCTCCCACTGCTGCAGCTGCTGCTGAGGGGGGTGGAGGTGTGGGAGCCGCGGGGAGTGGAGCTATGGGGGGTGACGTGGAAGTGGAGCTAGGGTTTCTGCAAGGGGTGTGTGAAAGGGGTGTGGGTCAGTTGGAGGAGGTTGTGTGGAGGTAGCTGTCGTGTCGCCTGCAGCGCCTGTAGTCCGTCGCCCTTGCTTCGATAGCCAGTGAGCCTGTTGCACCAGTCGCCAGTGGGTCCGTTGCTCCCTGCCGCTTGTCTTAGCCGCGGAGCCAGTCACTCTAGTAGTCCGTCGCCCTTGCTTCGGTAGCCACTGAGTCAGCCGCTCCTGTGCCCGTGCCTCTGCAGCTTCAGTCGTTGCTCCCATCTTCTCTCCTTCCACAGTTCCTCCTCCTCCTCACTTGCCCTCTGTGATTACCTCTAGCTTTGCTTATAATTGTGAACTATTACTATGCTTGCTCATTGTGCTGATTACACCCCACTTTGGCTATGGGGGTGTGTCAGAATGTTATAATTGTCTAGCCTGCAGTGGGGTACTCTATAGCGAGTACAACCCAATTAGGGTTTCCTATATGTATGCCAACTGCTGCTAGTGCAAATCCTCCTTTCTTCAAATTCTGTTTCTACCTGCTAATTTTTAACATGTAGATGTTGGAAAGCCATTCCCTACTCAAGATTCTTCCTATTCGGTGCTCTACGGCTATAATTGTTGCCATAACACTCTTTGTTCAAACTACTGTCATGCCGCCAATTTGTTACAAGATCAAATGATTGATTAAATAAACGTAGGCAGGTTGAGGTGCTCCAGATCCAATTTATAGATCATTTGCTGGCTGTGACCAGTCCGCAATCAACATTCAGTGACCCATTCATGCACAATCTTTTCATTGTCACATTGAGGCTATTGTGAGTAGAGTAGAACCTAAATAATAGACGACATTATTCATACGATACTATGAATAGGCATATCCCTGTTCTGGATTTTGTAAATGATATATTTATTGTTGCTACTGTTAATGTACATAAAAAATAGCGAGCTATGACCTTGTATTCTCAAGTGATCAATCTTTCTGCAGCGACCTTGCAATGGCGATGCTCCGCGCCTTTCCCGCCTTAGGGCGGCCATGGATTTCTTCGCGCGTAGCAACGGTTAACATACTCGTTATCATGCCGACATTCATCCGTCGCTTTTATGTGCAATGCCTTTAATATTAACAATGGACAACCAGTCATTTCTACTGACCTTGGTTACTCCACTTATATGGCATCGAGCCTTGGTCACTGTCAGGCATTCTCGGGATTACATACCTTGCGTCAAGATTCATTGGCAAACATATTTTCTACGTTTAACAACAACGACTAGACAAGCATAATATTCTGACAGCATACCTTATTGAATTTCATATCGTAACAGTATATAACATACAAACATGTAGTTTGACCCGCTCTAAGGGTCGCGCTAGGGGCGGGGCTAGGCGGAAGCGATGAATGAATGACTGCAACGAGGGCAAACGGTTGGATATGTACCAAACTTGTACCATCTATAATGAAATCCAACTTAGCTTATAATGTGCTGATCCAGAAGTGTGAGTGACTGCTCAACAGAACTTCATCATTGGCTTACGGTACTCTAGCCGCATGCACACAGAACTAGGCGAAGGACTACACCAGACACTAGAATGCTAGAGACCCGCTTCCTACCCATCTGCACCCTGCCTCCCACACAGTGCCTGCTGTACTGCCATGCCAGCACTGTTGCCTACCTGCCTGCACACTACCAGCCCTCCCGCAATACCACGGGACAGGACCCCATCAATGTCACAAATGTGGCAGCAACAACCCACACAAGCCCACACCAGGCCACACCACAGCACACCACTCTACACCACTTCCGCAGCAGTCCACAGCAGCCCCACCAGGAGCACTGTTGTCTGTTCCACATGCTCCTCGCTCGCTCCGTGCGCCGGTGGGCAGCGTGCCAGCAGCGTGCCGGCAGAGGCATCCGTGCAGCATGCAGCAGGGCAGTGGGGTGTTGGGCTGAGAAAAAGCCCTTAGGATCTTTCCAAGGCTAAACTCAGAGTAAGGATGTTGTAGTTGCGGAAGCGTTTTAATGATGAGTATTGAACCACCTTGCGCTAGTATGTGAGGGCAAGATAGATTGATTAAAATAAGGAGATACAAGGTTTTATAGAGTACAAGGAATACGAAGAGATACAGCTAATAACTGTTTTACTGCTGCTGTTGCGGTTCGATACAGTGACGACTCGGGCAACTGCTCAATAACGAGTCAGTTGTTTGCCCTTGCTGTCGCGCTGTATTTGTCCGGTCAAAGGTCGCTGACTTTTGACTTTTGCGTAACGTCCAGCAGTTTACTTCAACCTCCGATGGTTGACTCGCCGATGCTTCGTTGTGCTTTGCTTCGTTTAAGACTTGGTGTTTTGACACAGCAGAAGCGCTTGAATCACTTGTTTCCAACACTCCCCTTCGCTTCTGGAATGTCGTTGCTGGTGACGTGGCCTTGTCCAGACAGCAGCATGCAGTACTCGAACTTCTGCTTTCCGAGCTTCTTGGTCAAGTAATCAGCTGCCATCTCGGACGTGGGACAGTAGGACAGCTCGAGCCTCCCTTTCTCGATCTCGTCCTTCACGAAGAAATATCGCAGGGCGATGTGCTTCGTTCTGTTTGCGAATCCATTCTTGTTGGCGATGCGAATTGCTGACTGGTTGTCGCAGAACAGGGAGAAGCTGGGTAACTGGGCCAGCTCCGCTTCTTCCAGTAGTTCGCGAAGATATAATCCTTCCTTGGTGGCTGAGCAGAGTGCAATGTATTCTGCTTCGGCTGAGGAGAGAGCTATTAGCTCTTGCTTGCTCGACTGCCACGAGATGGGTCCGATAGGATCGAGTCGGTAGATGTAGCCGGTGCGCGAGCGTCTGTTGTCAGAGTCGTCAGCATGGTCAGCGTCGACGTAGCAGATTAATATAGGTGTCGTGGTTCCAGTTTTGTGGTAGGTTAGTCCGATCGTCGGGGTGCTGACGAGGTAGTGCAGTGCGCGATCGAGCTCCGCCATGTGCTCCGCTTCGGGTTTCTTGAGGTAGGTAGCGAGTTGGCTTGCGGAGTACGAGAGGTTTCGGTCGGCAGGTGACGGCTACAAAGAGCAGACATCCTAGTTTTCGTTCGTAGTCGCGTATGCCGACGGGCTTGAGTAGAGCAGTGGCTTCCTTGTGACTTCCGGCAGTGTAGCGATATGGTGTGGAGATAGTTGTTGGGGTGAGTCCGAAGCGCTTAGCAATGGTGTCGGCGTATTTCGCCGAGGTAGATCGCGTTTTCTTCTTCTTGGATGTTGAGGCCGAGATACTGTGTTACGGTAGACGAAACTGTGAGCGTGAGGTCCTGCTGCAGCTCCCCTTTGAACCAGGTCGTGATTCCGTCGGTCGAGCGATGTAGAGCAGATCGTCTACGTAGACGATGAGTAGAATGTAGTCAGTGGCCTTCGTGAGTCGGTACATGCCCTGGTCATTGCGGTAGCTGGCGGAATCCGATGCGGATGAGTCGAGCGTGTAGATATTGCTGCCACATTCTCGGAGCCTACTTGATGCCGTATAGAGACTTCAGTAGTTGGCAGACTTGGGTAGGGTCTCCGTTGGAGCCATGTGGTAGCTCGACGAAGATTTCGGCGTCAACAGGTGCGTAGAGGAAGGCGTTAGCGACGTCGATTTGGCGTAACTTCTTCTTCTTCATGGCGGCTATCGCGAGGAGAATCCGCAGAGAGGTGTGTCGGCTGACCGGCGCAAATGTTTCGGTGAAATCCCGTCAGTGTTCTTGGTCGAAGCCGCGTACCACCCAGCGCGCTTTGAATTTGTCGATGGTGCCCGTCTGCTTTGGTTTTTTTCACACGGAAAACCCATTTTCCGGTGAGTACCGTTTTGTTACGAGCCACGCCAATGGGTACGACTTTCCAGGTGTTACGTTCTTCCAGCGCCTTCAACTCCTTGTCCATGGCCTCGTGCCATTTTTCCTTGTGTTCCCCCCCCAGAAGCCTGCTGAACTGTGGCAGGCTCCTTAGGTGGCGCCGTGCCGTGGACTGCGGTGACGAGTCCAAGTATCTGGAGTCCACTCTGTGTGTAGCGGGGAAGATTTGCATCCTCGGGATAGGCTGCTTCGTCTCCTGCTTCTGGGTCAGGTAAGAAATTAGGTCCTATGTGTTCTGCGTCGTCGGTGTTGACTCGTGCGGGTGGTAACGTAACCGTTGTTGGCGAAGTCGTAGAAGGCTTCGGCGTTGATGCTTTCGCGAGGGTTGTCGTCATCCATCGGGATGTCCACCGAGCAGTAGGGGAGAGGTCCGGCTTCCTCCGAAGCTCTGTCCACGTTCTGTTCATCCCAGTCAGCTTCATCTGCTGCCGAAGCGAAGGCTCGTCCCCATGAAATCCGCCTGTGACATCTCGTGAAGTTTCCAAGTTGTACAGGTACGTTGAAAGGGTGAGGCGTTCGTAGAAGATAACATCACGTGCTGCCACTGTTTCCTTTGTGTTGATGTCGAAGATCTTCCATGCGTTGTAATGTTTTTCGATGCCCAGGTGTAGTCCCCACTGTGCGCGTTGAGAGAATCGACCGGCGCTTGCAGCTGGGGGTCGGTACTGTACCATGCAGCCAAAACTCGCAACATTTTTGTGCTGCCCAATTTTCCTGTCCACAGCAGGTGCGGTGATGCGTTGTTCGGGAGCGATGATGACGAGAGCATGTTGTGCAGCATCACGGCATGGTCCATTGCTTCGGGCCACTGGTGGTTGGGTAGCCGCATGCCACGTAGCAGCTTGCGCATTGTGTTCTGAAGGGTCCTGTTCATCCTTTCTGCTACACCCTGCTTTTGATGGGCGTAGGGAAGGGGAGATGAGGCGC